ATATACTTAAAAGATCAACTATAATGCATATTAGTTTTTTTGTAAAAAAAAAATTAGAGTTCTAAACTTAAGTAAAGTCATTTTTATTTAATTAAAATTTAATTTAAAATATAAATTGTATTTTCTTTAAAAATTATTTAACCCGTTTATTTCAGGATCATTTCAAAATTCAAAATTCAAAAAAATAAAAAATCTTGTTATTCCATCCATGCTGACATGAACAAATGACAGATGTATATATAGGCATAATGTTTCAAACCAAAATCAAGGGGAAGAGTAAGAAAGATACACAAGGCTCTCTCTAATGGCGAGCCAATCTATTGTCGTCAATTTGGTATTGTAATTTTTGACCGTATCGGTCAAAAGACGGCGTACCAAAGCGAAATTCTCTATACAATGCCAAAATAAACTTACCGCCACCGGTGAGGAATAATGTTTTAAATAAAAATAAAATTGATTTATATATAAGTTTTATATATTATATTTATATAAAATTTTAATTAATTATTTTTTTATTTTTAATAATTAAAATTTATTTATATTTATTAAAAATAATTATTTTTTACTTTAAAGGTAATGCTAAATATAATTATTGAAAAAAAAATATTGAGATTTTATATAAATATAACGTGTAAAATTTATGTGTAAATAAATCTCCCTTCTTTAAGTAAATATACGCCTATATATTTTTCAGCCAAATTTCCCTTTTGCCAATCAATAATTAAATTTTTACTTCGGAGCACAAAAATTTGGAGATGCTACCCATATGCACAATGTTTTCGTGTATTATCATATACAATGTGATATAATATTAAATAAATAAATATATAATGTGATTTTTATTTTTTATGTATAAGGTACGAATTAAAAATATAATGAAGTGTATTTTTTATAATTAATTATATAAAAATGATAAAAATTAAATTTGGTTAATTAAGTAATTAAAACTATTTACATTATAATAATATTAAAATAAAATTAATTTTTATCTTTTTTTATGTAAATTAATTATAAAAAAATATATTTATTATATTTTTAATCAATGCGTTTTAAAATATATGTTAAATAAACTCATAATATAAATGGAAAGTGTATGTATTAATAAGGCACTACTTACGACTAACTGCTTCTAGTTAAATAAATTTCTTAAAATGTATAAGAAAACTACATTCTGCCAGATTCTGGTCTTTAATTCTCAATAAATTTTTTGCCCATCGTTAAATTTTGTCTCTCGATATATATATCCCACCTTTACATGTATCTATTAAGGCGAATTGAATTGTACCAACATTCTATTGATTTGGATGGAAATGATTCAGTTCTCTTTAAATAAGATTTTGAATTTAAGTTTTGTGAATAAAGAAACAAATACTAGAAAAACTTCTCCCAAATGAAGGGTCTAATATAATTCAATTCCAAATTAATTGGAACTCAATATCTTCACACCGGATACCAAATTGTTTATAGCAGTTAATTAAATTTCTTAAAATGCATATAAAAACTACATCCTGCCAGATTCTAACTCTCAATGTTTTTTCTGGCCATTTTTAAATTTTAATTCTCAATATCCCCCTATAAAATGCCCCCCAAAGGAGGCCATCTCACTAACCCTTTTCTTCTTCCTTCCTTACCTTATAAAAAATGGCCAACTTATCTCCTTCCTTCTGCTTGCTTCTCCTGGTCCTCATTTTCATTTCAGGTTTGTGCTTTATCTTTCCTTTTGTTCAAAAAGAAAAGAAATTGAGGTTTCAAACCTAAAACTTTTTAGAATCTGAGGACTCGAGAGAGCAATGTCAATTCTTGTTTTTGTGCAGAGAGAAGAAGCTCGGTGAATGCAGGTTGCACATATGCTGTGCCTGGCGGAGGCTGTCCTGATGTACAAAAGTGCCTAAATGATGTATGCCGTCCATGTTACCGTGGCGTAGGCCGCATTGAAGCGGTGTGCCGTGCTGCTGGCGGTGGCATCCCCTTCGACGAATGTCTTTGTATTTTCAAGAACGGCGCCCCTTGTAACCCACCGGCGCCACCAAAGTGTCCCGGTCCGCCGGCTGTTGTGACTCGAATTATCCACAATCAAAATTAATGCTGCTTGTGTGTAGAGTAGAGCAAGGAGCTCTAAATAGCATCAATAAATGCTGCGCCTTTTATGTCAGTGTTTAGGTCAGTATTGTAGTAACTTTGTATTAAAGAGTATGAATAATATTTGCAGCTTTTGACTGGTAGATTTTCAATTTCTTTTGTTGGAGACATGTTTACAACATAAATTATCGATGAAGCTTTTTTTGAATTTGTTTATGGGAAGGGGAAGTAAGTAAGGTATAGAACACAAGATTTTATGTTTAATTTACTTATTTAAGAGAATGATAATTAGATCATCAGAGATTGAATAAATTATTAATAAAATATCTTAAATATAAAAGTAAATCTCTAAAATTAGAGTACAAAATACATTTATTTAGAAGTATTAATTTTCTTATTGTTTTTAAAGATTTAATAAAAGTAATTAACGAGGGATGTGAGAAAATCAAATCAAAATTAAATTTTAATTTATATAATAAGAATCTTTTTTTTTTTTTTTTGTGAATTTAGATCTGTTAAATCATATATCTTACATGACAATTTTATAATTATTACAAATTATCCATCAAATAATTTTTATTAGTTTATTTATAGAAAATACATGGAGGGTGGCTTTTTAGGAAACGAAGAAATAATTAAACTTTGTAGAGTATACAAGGCCAATACAAGCTCCTCCTTCAATATTGTTACTTCTCTCTCTTTGATATAGGAGCCAGACATTATCGACCAAGCCTGCATGCGTCCCTGTTCAAGGGAGATTCAGACCACCAAGTCTTCCTGTATCAAGTTTGGCTTCCTCGATGTTGGAATAGGCCCAACACCCAAATAGGGTTGTGCATAACGGGTCTAGGTTATCACCTATTAGCCTAAGCTGAAGGAGCATCAGTACAAGTATACCCACGTGACCAGCGCCATGTTGGCCAATGGGGTGCTCACACGTGTAGATGTATGTCAGCACCAAGGGGCTATAAATACCCCCCAACTACCTCTGATGAAGGTAATTAATCTTTACGCTCTTCTCTCTGCAATTACTCCTTGAGAGCATCTCTCTCTAGAATATTGAGTATTGCTGACTTGAGCGTCGGAGTGTTTTCCTCGAGGAAATAACCTCGGGATTTTCAAGTGTAGGAGCAACTAAGGATTTCAACGGTGTTGGACTGCGAAACTGCCCAAACACTCGAGTTTCGCTGTACCTAAGAACACAACAATTATATTGCATCACTAATGAATAATATCTCTCTCTAGAATATTGAGTATTGCTGACTTAAGCGTCGGAGTATTTTCCCCGAGAAAACAACCTCGGGATTTTTAAGTGTAGGAGCAACTAAGGATTTCTAAGTGTAGGAGCAACTAAGGATTTCAACGGTGTTGGACTGTGAAACTGCCCAAACACTCGAGTTTCGCTGTACCTAAGAACACAACAATTATATTGCATCACTAATGAATAATATCTCACAAAAATGGCAAATTCATCAAAATTGAAATAAGAAGCAGACCTTGGAACTCTTTGTTGAAACAATCAGTGTCACACTTCATCTCACAGAAGGAGTTGCCATTTCCGCATGTGTTGTGGCATGCCTTAAAGCACAAGGAGAAGAACTTAGCTAGCGTCACTTTTAAGGTCCTGAGCCTCAGCGGCTTTCGGCGGCAGGATTGCTGGAAATATGACGAGGCAGATCACCAACAATGCCAAGGCCTTGGTTGCCATTTCTTGATGAGAAGTTTTTTTTTATAAGAATTTGAAGTACTGTTGGTGTTTATCCTCCTTTCTTAATGTTTTCCTCCTTTTTTACCTTCCCTGATCTGTGAGAGGGATGACTGCTGGATTCTAAAGGGGTTGAGATGGGTGAATTTGTGGTGACAAATTAAACTAAACCCATCAAAACAGCACAACTTGTGTTCTGTTCTGAAATTTTCAACCTCTTTTGGGGTTCTATTTTCTATTTATGGATTTGTTTAACAGGTCAGTTTATCACCTATTTTTTAATGGTTAAATGCTAAATTTGGTCCCTCAACTTTAGTGAGTTGCACATTTTTGGTC